TGGGGGGGGTGGGGGATGTGGAGATGAGACAGGAGTGCAGGGACAGGACTGAGGGATGTGGGTCGGGGAGGCGGTGGGTGAGGGCCCTAGCCCAGGCTCCCAGGGTTGGGGGGCGGGGCAGGGAATTGGGCCCAGCACCCCCACCTTCACCCAAATGTCCTACAAACCAGATGACCTCAATTCCAGAAGTTACTCCTGCCAGGAGGAGGGGGGAGTGACAAGGTGACTTTTCCTCTTTCCTCTCCTCCTCCTGCCTTACAGCAGCTAAGCCCACGCCCGCCCGCCGTTCTCCCCGTTTGTGTCAGCGGGTGTGTATTAGGCCTCTGCTGTGTGCCTCGCGCTGTCAACAAGCTGTCTGCTCCCACGCCTTGGCTCCCACGCCTTGGCTCCCATGCCTTGGCTCCCACCTGCCCAGAGGCAGGGAGCGGCCGCAGCGACAGTTCCCGAGTTATTCCCAAAACTTCTAAGAGCTGAATGGGATTCTGTGGGCACCTGAGGGGAGGTGTCCAGGCTCACCGAGCAGCCACGGCCGGAGCTCAACCTGCTGACAGTCAGAAGCCCCTAGTAACAGCCACGCGTCTGACTCGTGATGATGGGAGAACAAAGTGTTACTAAGTCACCTGTAGTTGGTGGACAGAGTTTTCCAGAACTTGGCGGGAAGCAGGGAGGCAGATAATGGAATGGGTTGTGGGCAGGGGAGACACTGGGAGCCCCTGACTCAAAGGGGAGGGGCTTTCCATCACCTGTGGCCGGGGCCCCTCCCCTGCTGGTCCCTGGGCGAGGGCAGGTGGGACAAGGACTTTCCTCTGTGCTCACCTGAGCACCCCCCCTTGTCACTGCACCCCCAGAACGCCGTGCGGCACAACCTCAGCCTGCACAAGTGCTTCGTGCGTGTGGAGAACGTCAAGGGCGCCGTGTGGACCGTGGACGAGCGGGAGTATCAGAAGCGGAGACCGCCAAAGATGACGGGGTATGTGGGCCGGACCTGTGTGGGGCGCACCCACCAGGGTGTGACCACCCCTTGCCTCCCCAGTGCACCAAATCCTTCCCACCTCGGGGGTGAGGGGGAGACAAGGGGTGCAGGAGCTCATGGGAGACGGGAATCTGGTAGTGACTGGTGATTAGAAAGAGGACGTTTATGTCTTATTCCACCCGAGGGGCATGGCCAGAGCTGGGACATGGGCAGATGCCAGTCAGTGTGGCCATTGGTGAGGCGGCTGCCATCCCCAGAGCCACTCTCCCCCATCTTATGGCAGGAGGAGCCAACCCCACCTCTTCATTTCACAGGAAAGGAGGCCCAGAGAGGGCAAGGGGCTGGGGGGAGGTCACACAGCAGATCCATGGCAGAGCCGAGTCTCTGACCTCCCATCTTTGATCTTCTCCACTGCACAGCATTTTCGGTGGAAACTGAGGAACTGGGAGGTGGGGGTCAAAACCTCCTCTTTGGGCTTCCCTTCCAGCACCAGAGGCCTTCTCCCCACCCGGACACCCCCACACGGGCCACCTGTTGCCTGTGCCTTTTGGCCCCAAGACCAGGGTGGGGAGGGAGAGAGGTCCGAGGCAAATTAGATGGATCTCTGCGTGGGTCCTGTTCCCCTCAAAGAATCCTTCTCCCGGGACCAGAGCCTCTCCACCCCCAGGCGGTTGTGGGGGCTGGGGCAGGGTCGGGACCGGGAAAAGGGAAGGGGAGCCATACCCTTCTGAGTGCCCCACATGCCAGCCACGCGCCGTATCTTCATGTCTCAGTACCCACTTGGAGTCAGGGGACCTGGGTTCAAATTACTTCTCCCCGCTGTGTGACCTTGGGCCACCTCCTTAACCTCTCTGAGACACTCTGTAAACTGGGGGGGGGGGCGGCGGGTAATCATGGAAGAGGCCCGGCGTGGAGTCATCACTTCCCTGACCAACTCCCGAACGCCTTCCTGGGCAGAGGGCCTTTGGTTTGGAGCGTGTGGCGCCTGGCTGAGCACATGACTTACTAGATGTGCCGAAGCTCAGGGTGGCGGGAAGTTGTGGATTTTACAAATACAGGCCTGTCGAGGCTACAGCCTGGACCTTCCCGGACACGGGAAAATCTAGACCAGAGAGAAAAGGGGCTGGGACGGCACGGTGTGAAACGGGCACCGGGAGGGGTCCCTGTTCCCACTCACCAGCTCAGGGGCCTGCTCCAGAGCCTCTGAAGCCCCAGCCCTGCCTTGTGCGGGGGCTGCTGGTGCCTGCCGGGCCAGGTCAGCGTGAGGACTAAGTACATGGGGCACACACGGGCTCCGTAGACCAGACCGTGCTGCAGGACAGTGCATGGGACCTCGGTCAGGGTGGAGGTGTGAATGCGGAGCAGGCGAATGAATGAACCAAATGCTGCGTCTCTCTCCTGCAGGAGCCCCACCCTGGTGAAAGGACAGTGCATGGGACCTCGGTCAGGGTGGAGGTGTGAGTGCGGAGCAGGCGAATGAATGAACCAAACGCTGCGTCTCTCCTGCAGGAGCCCCACCCTGGTGAAGAACATGATCTCCGGCCTCAGTTACGGAGCACTTAATGCCAGCTACCAGGTGACCCGGCCCTCCCAGAGCCTGCCTGCTGCTGCCCTGTACCCTCCTGCCCCCTCCATTGCCCTTCCACACACACTGGCCCGGAGGGAGACCGTCCTCCACCCTCCCTGCGGGCCTCTCTAGGGGGAGGGGAGGAGGGAGAGAAGGGGGAAGACTACTCTGAGTGGCCCAAACCCAGACCCTCTGCCCACCCCACTCAGCTGCGTGGGGGCGGGGCCTGGGAGAGCAGGGAGCTTGGGGCCATCACCAGGGTCTCCCTCCATAGCTTGTCAATCAGGAGGTCCTCAGTCTCCCTGAAAGGGGCCAAGCCAGGCCCAGACCACAGGAAAGCTGGGAGGGAGGAGGGCAGGGGCAGAGCTCAGCCCTGGGAGGTATGTG